GCCGGGGGAGGCGGCGGTGGGCGCGACGTCGGCGGCGGCGGCGGCGGCGGCGGCGGCAGCTGCAAGTTGGGCTGCAGGGGCAGCGCATACACTACAATGGCTGCTGGAAAGAGGCGTAAGGAAACAATTTCCAGGCCCGCCGCGTCCAGCCCGAAATATGAGAAAAAAATTATTAGAAATTCCGCGGGCGGTGTAAAGGCGGCGGACGGGCCGGAGGGAGGATGTTAAAGCCCCGCGGTGAGTTCTCCCGGGGTCCGGGGCGGCGGAGAGGCGTTTAGCGGGAGAAATATCAGGGTTATTTAAATTATGGGACTAGCCGAGGGGGCAGAGGAGCAGCGGCGGCGGCAGGAGGAGGAAAAGTTTGTGCTACTCTCAGCCCCTGCTCAGGACCCCAGAGAGAAAAATAATAATAAAAAATAAAATAAAATAATTAAGCGGGGGTGTGAGGACTCCCGAAGTCGCTTCTGACAGGGCAGGGGGCGATGCGGCTGGAGACCCGAAGGTGAGGTCGGTGGGAAAAAAAAAAACCCCTTTATTCAGGGTCTGGAAAGTTTGAAAAGTTTTCCTCCTCCTCCTCCTCCTCCTCTCTGGTGCTGTGAATATTGTGACAGCGGCAGCGGCAGCAGCGAGAGCGGAAGACATTAGAGACCCGAAAAATAAGGGAAAAATTAATATAAATTCAGTTTTGAGAGTAAACTCTCCGCATTTTCCACCAAAACATCCCGGGGGAAGGTCGCTTCCCAAAGGGCCTGGCGGAAACCCGCAGTCGGCAATATTTGGGGGGCACTTTGAGTGACTTGGGGTAACTTTGCCCCTTTTTCAAAAGAGGTTTTTCTTTTTTGGAGAAATGAATTTGTTTTTGCCCTTTCCTCAGGTGGGCGAGTCGGGGTCGGGGTGCGGGGTCTGCGGGGAGGTGTGAGCCCTGGATGTGTGGCTGCGAGGGGGGGTAGGGGGAGGGGGTGCTAAATGAAAGCAGGAGATCTGCACAGAGCAGGGACAGCTTGTTGTCAGTATCATAAACAACCAAAATGGAGGGAGAACTCAGGCATATAACCAAATAAAAATTTTTAAAAAATCGCAAAAAATCCCTAAAAATCCGGGATGCTCCCCCTTTTCTCGCTAAAGGTAAAAGTATGAACCGCCTTTCCCCTGAAGTCCATTTTGACTTTGCAGGGACCAAGGAGTTAATATTTATTTATTTTTTAAAACTTTCGAAGGGCAAAAGCCTTTTATAACTCAACCGACAATGAGAAAACGTGAAAATCCGATGCAAGAGGAGGAGGGGGAGGGAGGGGGGAGGTGGTAGTGCAGAAACTGCTAAACTTATTGGTAATGTGGACTGATCTGAGATAAGATAAACACTATATTTGCTATTTTATAACTCTCTTTTAATGATCTTTGCGGTTTTTCTTTTTTTTTTTTTGGTGGAAAAAAAGTGATGCCATTTTCTTAATAGAGTTAATATGTGTGATTGGAAGAATAAACCTTTCCGGCTTTAGATTGCATTTTCGTCGCATTTATGCTTCAGGTTTTGTTAGTGGCTCCCTCCTTTCTTTAAAGTAGGCTCTACAGAGGAGGGGTAGAGAGGTGATGTTGCACAGAGAGGCTGGAGTGCAAGACTGGCGCACCTTTTGGGGAGGGGTGGGGAGTTGCTTGGTTTCTCCCTTCCTGACCCGTTTGCTTCACCTGTTCATCCTCAGTAAAGAATGTTAGGCTGAGGTTTTCTGGTTTTACGTATATAAAAGGATGGTGCCTCTTGCATCACATTGAAGTTAATGGGAAAGTGCTGCTGATGTTGGTTCCACGTGGGATATGGGACAGAGCAGGGCATTTTAAAGGGACAGCTTCTCTTTTCTTAAGATTTTCATCACCTACACAGAATCACTGTCTGAGGACCAAAAGCAGAGGTGCTGGGAGGGTGTGGTGATGGAAGAGCCTTCTCTTTCCATTACTCAAGTGCACCCACCTTTAGGATTGATGGAGGGAGAGGAGGAATAAACAAGCTCAACAGAAGATGGATATTGTGTAGATTAGTTTGTATCCAAGCTGTTCTTTTGTGTAACAAGCTCTCCCAGGAACTTTTCATGTTACATTGCTTTGCTTTGGAAGCTGATTTTGGAAGGAATTGTGGAAAAATGGAAATAGTTTAAGGTGTGTGGTGTAATGGTATAGCATTATTGAACAGTTATGAATTCTGTGCAGTGAGATCAAAGAGCTGTGTATGCCCATAATGTGATTTTACAGCCATTTTGTAAAAGCTGTAAAATACCTAATATTCAATTTGGCTTAAGGTACACTGAGGACTTCTGGTTGAAAACTGCAGACAGAGTGGTGCAGATTCTTTTACACTGTAAGCAGTAGGCATTTCTTTAAGGGGAAAAAAGCACATACACCAACACCATGGAAAAGTTTACGTATACCCATTTTTAAAGCCCATCCTATACATCTGCTGTAACTCTGCGCCTTTGAAATTAAAAGATTTTAAAATCCTGAGACCTATCAGTTTGCATCTTTTAAGTTGAATTTGTGTTATTTAATAGGAAATGTTTACTGATCATAAACTACTGTCAACTCTAATGGTTTAGATTTTCACAATATTTTCAAAGTTTAAAATATGTAAGTTGTTAGCTGTTCTCTATTTGAGATTAAGGTTAATTCTGAATAGGATTTACTTGTGTTCCATTTTCCACAGGTATATGGAGTTTCTGAAATAAATGCCTATTTTCCTTTGTTTTTTTGATTTATAGAAATGGATTAAAATTAGAGCTGGATTTTTAGACTTCTTATACAGAATATTTTCCTTGCCATACTGTACAAACAAATTATTATTTTGAAGTCTATTGTACGTTAACATGTGTGCACAGCTGAGCTCTTATCTGCACCTTCCTGTAAATACCTCCATAACAGCATTGTGGCGGTGTAGTGTTTGAGTACATCATCTCGTGGTTTCTGATTTTGGAAGCAATTACATCTTTCTAAGAACTCATTAAAAAAATTAATCCCATGAACCACTGTTAAATCAAAATTGATTGGAAAGTGATTAAACTATCAGTGGAGAAGAGAAACTTCCCCCCTCCCCAAAATAATCTTCTGTCCAGGTTTCAGAATGCCATTAATATTGATAAACCTTTAAAATTTATCTTACATTTTCATTCTATTTTGGCTCAAGACAGTTACATTGACTATAAGTAGTCAGAATTAGGCTATGTGTTTAAAATAAATGAGACTTTTTAATCTTGAATAGCTGCCACTTTGACAAGCCAGAGATACTAATATCAATAAATTCAATTTCTGTAAAAGTGAAGGAAAAGTATTTCTTCCAGTTATATTAGACCCTTGAGTTGTTCAGGTTATTTGGACACTTCAAGTTATGATGAGGTTATTGTCAACATAAATAAAAGTGCTGGTATTGTGATTTTTTTTCTCTCTCACAAAGAGTGGTATAAAGCTTTCTTCATGTTTGGGTTTTAGACAACTAGGTACTTGTCTGAATTAGAAAATGCACTTTGAGCATACAAGTATAAAACCTATAATTCCTTAGAGAGTCTTATTTAGATAGGGCACAGCGCAATACCTGATTAGGATTGGTTGTATTGAGCTTTTTTTAATGCCTTAGAAATACTACCTGTTGAACCTCCTTTTTCTGAAGCTACTATTAAATTATACCAATTTACAGAAATAATCTAACGATATTGTGTACTCAAAATGTTTATTTCAGTTAAAATTAGAGAAACCTCATAGATTGAGATTTCTTACTTGAAATTTATATGCCTAATTTTGCTATTTGGAATTCTATAAGGAATTTAGCTGCTGTGGAAGATGATTTATAAATGTGAGCTAATACTGATAAAATTCTATATCTGTATATTTATTATAACCAAAATATTTTAATAAACACACATCTTACAGCTAAATAAGTTAGTGAATTTGCTTTTATCAATATAGTTTAAAAATTTTAAAGGTACTCTTTGTTTTAATATCATACAAAGGTGAGATTTTTTTCCCATCATTTTTAACTTAATTCTGGTTGTTCCTGTATACATTTTGGTTAACTATGCTGGAAATTTTCCTTTCTAAGGTTTAAATTGTTATTTGCTAAATTAAATGCAATGCTCCTGTGTTTGAGATTTGAAAAGCCAGATAACTGAAACATATATCTATAGCTACCTTTGAAATTTTGTTTTAGTAATCATTTGCCTCTTGAGCTGTGTAATCAAAATATTGGTTCCTTGTAGGAATGTTTCAATATTTTTTATTTAGAATCCTGTTCTTTGGAAAATTAAGATATATGAAAAAATTACCTGTTACACATACATACACACGCGTGCACAGACACACACACGCACACACACACACAAAGGAAAAAAGAAATTTTACTGAATAACTTTACTTACACTGCCTGGAATACTTGTTCTTCTTGATGTGTTTCCAAGTGTATAGGAAATAAATGTAATTTTTTTCTCTTTACATTGATAACATCTTAGATTCTTTAGTTAAGTTATTTCAGTAAGGGAAGAGTTTCAGGAGAAGGAAAGAACAACTTAATCTGTTCAACAGAATCCAAGATAGTGAATATGTTAAAGGTAAAAGGGCTATAAATTGTCCCTTGAGCCATTTTTTAAATGTTTTAAGAACCTGATAAACACCTTTTCTGAAACATCAAATACTTTGAAAATGTATCAGTCACTG